TTAAAAAACAGCTCTACAATCGCTTTTTCAATTTAAATGGATACCCCATAGGAGGTCAAAAAGTTGGGAATTCCCAGGACACAAATTAAGATTATAATTAAAAATCTGGCGGCCTGTTTTTATAAAACTCAGATTTTTTTAAATCCTTTAATAAATTTAGCAATTAAAACACAAAATATCTGGAACTGCTGTTCCAATTTAAATCTCAATTAACTTCAATTCACTGCCTAGCAACCAGTTTGAAAAATCACCGAATTTGAATCAGATCCAATGCATTTCGGGTGTTAACAAATTGAGTTCAACTACGACCCCCAGGCAAACTGGCCATTGTAATTATTCATGCCGCAATTCCACGCCCAAAAAAAGAAATGATGGGAAATCAGAGAGCCTGGTGTCAGTGGCACACTAAAATGCAGGACTCGACACCACCTGACAGCCACTCTACGTGGAGTGCTTGTCGGATTTTAAAAATAATAACAAAACGAATACTTATAGCGTACAGAAAGTGACACAAAAAAGAAGATGGCCAAAATCATGCATGTAAAATGAAGGCGAAAAATGAAAATGGGAACATGACATGGCAGTGGGTGGAGTGTTTTTTTGGGGGCTGAAGGAGCTGGCCAGGATGACAGGACACTTTTGCAAGTGTCAGTTAAATGGAACACCCGATCCACACAACAATGGGCTTGGGCAGTTCCTGCTTCGTGGTTCCCGCTGGGTGCCCAAAAACTTAAATGGTGTCAAGGCTGATGAGTTTGTATCTCTCCACCTCCTTCAAACACACACGGAATACGGAATTCGGAAAGCGGAAAACTTCAGCACAAGTCAAAGTTCGGATGGCCGGCAAAAGTTGAACAAATTCAATGGACAACAATGAAGTGAGAGCAAGTGAGTTGAGAACGTTTTGTGGCTGCCGATGATGGAGAGGTGCACTGGGAGAAAAAGGGTCGATCTAAACTAAAAAAACAAGATATAACTATAAAGGTATTTTTACTTTAACAATATAATCATGATTTTAAAAACTATACATTACATCTATCTCGAATTAGTATTTTTATAGGTAAATCATTTTAAAAATTGGCGAAATTTTTTATAAAATTTTACTCTATTTAAGTTTTTATGGCTTAAAATGTATTGATTATACAAATACTAAATATCTAATTTGTATAATGATAATAAAATAGACAAAATTGATAAAAGAACTTAGTTTTTGCATGCCATGGCTTGGTTTAAACGTTAAAAATTTTTTGGTTAGGGAGACTAGTAGGATGCTGATTTTTTTTGCTTTTCGATAAATTTATTATCAGAAATTTTATAATTTTTTTTTCGGTGTATCGTGTTTTTCGCCACAAACTCCATCTCTTTCGTCACCCTTTTCACGACCCGTTGACAGCGCAAATATGCAAAGTCAAGTGGCAATTTATCATGCTGCAGTGAGACCGCCCTCCGGGCAGCGCGAGAGTTAAAGGTGGCGGCCCGAACCGCCTCGTGGGGCACTCTGGGGTTAAGTGGCAAACTAAATTGAATCGCCAGCAACGAACCATGCGTGGGCATGTATCTACGCCTACAACTAACACCCCTCGGCCCTTAACCCCTATCCCCACGGCCCCTGCACATTGGATTAAAAGTGATATCAAAGAGGATTTTGATTTAGTTAGTATTTTTAGAAAATATAATATAAATATACTTAGGTTAAATTTTCCATAATAAATAGTTCAACTGAAAAATCATTTTCTTACTGAAAATATATACATATATATATATATATATTTAAATCTGGTTATAGTAAGGATTACTTTTCATTTTCCGGAAATGTATAGATTCATTAAAAAAAAATACAAAACTTGTAAATAATATTTTATTATTAAGGATATACATATCAGGAAACAATGTTACATCAATTTTATAGATTATATTTTGTTGTTCTTCTTTTACTCTGATTTATGCAATTATTTGGCTCTTGGGACTAGCATATTAAGTTATATAAACAGATCCCTAGAGCGGAAAATAATAAATTTCCTGCTCTGCAGATGGCCAAGCGAAATTAGATAATTGTTATAAATTCCCCCGCCATTTTGTGTGGAGTAGGTCTAGTGTCCGGTGTTTTGTTGTCCGGTCGTTTTGCATTAAAATCGATGCGACGCTGACCTTTCCCTCAATTAAAAGTGCCCACCCACCCAAAGGGGACGAAGCACAGTGCCGTCCAAAAGTAATGGGACGCTTTTTCAGCCGGGGCGTTGCTGTCGACACTTTACCTCATTAGCGGCACCGTCAGCAGCCGTTTGTATAATTAATGATTGCCTGCGCTGCAGCAGGCTTCATATTGATTTTAATTTGTGGAATTTACTACGTAAATATGATGAATTCGAGACGGCCAGGGATTGGATGGAGGATTCTTTACGGTTTGGGGGAGATGAGAGCAGACCCAGCAGCACTTAGCAAAGTAATTAACCAGGCCCGATTTGGCATCGGTTAGCTGCGAGCTGTGTCATCCTCAAAGCCAGTTGGTCAAATCGAGGCAGTTGGTCACTTGACAATCCGCAACCCGAGCCCGGGGCGGAAGTGCCCGAGTTCGAGGCAACCGCAGAACAACTCGACTCCAGCCAACGTCTCCGGAAATGCTCCCCTGCCGTTGACAAGCCTCAAGAGATCCGACCAAAGACACTCCTTCCCCTTGTCAGTAAGTGACCGCAGCAACAGAAACAGCAACGGGCACTGGGAATATGGAGATGTGTCGGCTTGTGGGTCGGCGGATGGCCTGGAATCAGATGGGATGTGGTATATGCCATGGGTATGGGTATGGGGACGGGGATGGAATGACACTGGCGGCGAAAGGCGGAGTAATATGCGTAATTAAACAAAACCGCAAGTGGGGCACAGCAACAGAAATGAACGGAGTCCGGCGCAAAAGGATCCAGTTACCAGGGATAAAGGCAACTGCAGATGCAGCGTATATACTCAAAAGAAAGGCAAAGTGAAAGGGTTCCAAAGGACGAAGTTTGGGTTCCCTCATTTGGGAATTTTTTATGTGGAAAATACCTTAAAGATTATATAAGATTTTTAAAATGATTCTTTAAAACGTTGTATTTTATAATTCCTAGTAGTATAAATTAATAGTGTCCAAAGATTAAATATTATTTTATAAGCGTCATATTTTATGTGAAATAGTTTTCATAAAATACGGGTTCAAGTCTTACCTTTTTGGTTAAAAATATTTTTATAAAGGGATAGGTTAAAAATGTGTAACTATAAAAATATGATTAAAGAACGATTTTAAATAAAATCAATCGTCTAATTATTAAATTAAAGAATAAGGTGATATAATTTTTAAAAAAAATTTAGTTGTGATTCAGAAATAATATATGGAAAATATTACAATATTCAAGGTTACAAAATCCAAAGACATTTTAGATTCTTGAAACTACAGCACTCTTAATATTTTAAATAAATACAAATTATTTACTCTTATATCTAAAGTTTTCGCCCCTATTATAGCGCAACAAGAAAATGTTGATGCCCTTCGGCGAGAGATGTCAGCAGGCTTAAATTAAATATTTGCAAGGACCAAGCCGAAGTGCGGAAAGGGCTAAGAAAAAGGACGACTCGTGGCGAAAGAGTGGCCGGGTTGAAATCAAAGAAAGTCGAGGAGCAGAAGAGCCAAAAACGCAGCGCCACATAAATGTGGGGCATGCAGATTGAAGTGTCGTCCGGAGAGAAGGACCATGGCAAATGGCAAATGGTCCCATGGAAAATCAGAGTCAGAAGCGAAAGCAGAATCAGAGGCATGTGGCAGGCCATGGAACTGCTATTCAAGAGGGACTTAACACCCCCTCAGACGGCTTTTAGGCAGTGGAAATTGATCGAAAGACTAAGAGCAAACATCGTTGACTGACATCGACTTCAAAAAATAGAGGAAAATACAGCTGCAAAAGGGCTGCAAGGCATCGAGATACTTTCGTATCTTCGAGATACTTATAAGCCCAGCCAAATGTGCAACAATGTGCCGCCATCGATTTTCTATTAGCCACGAGACACTTGAGCTAGAAAACTAAATACCGACAGCAAATATTGATAAATTCGTAACGTCATGAAGAGGAAGACGACGACCGGACGGCAGAAGAACCACAACAACCAAATTATGAATAAAACTGAAGCTCGTAACTGTCTGTCGGCAAGACAAGAACATAAAAAAAATACGTTGTCCATGAGACCGAAAATAAAACGCAGAACGTAACTCGGAAGAGGACGCCCCTTCCCCCCATTTCCATTCACATTTCCCTCGGAAAAACCCTAGTGTTACCTCAACCAATGTCATACTGAAACCAAAAATGGGGTCATTACTCTTATTAAACAAAATTTAACCAACCTGAGATATGGCATTTAAAGGTTTTATATTCTTTCAGGTAAGTTTAGGTTTAGTAATTTGACCTAATAATACAATAACCTGCCCATAAATAAATATGTTCCAGAATTGCCCATTTACTTCCAACATAAGATACTTTCTAAAACTTTATAATCATTTAGATTTAAATATTTCTAAGCTATAAATAATTATCTTTCAAAGCATTATAGTTAATTCCTAACATATATGTAGATCGCCTTCTTTGTTTAAAGACAATATAAATCATACAAAAACACCTCTTAGCGAGGTAAAAAACTAGTGACGATCACACCTTCAGCATCGAAAGTTCAAGTATCAACTTATTGAAGAAAGTATATTATACGATCTACTAAATAATTAGAATTTATAAATTGACTATGTAGGCAAAAAGCTGTACAATTTTTATAAAGCGATCGTCACTAGTTTTTTTGCCTCGTTCAGACATTTTTTTGTTTGATAATAGATAAGCGAAGACAGTATTTTAAAATCTTTAAAAACATCAAATCGCTTGCTTATTTTTGCCCCCAGAGAAGGTTATCAGAGATGACTAATCTATCGTTTAATGTATTTAAAACGTATATTCCTTCACCCACTTTTCCCTGTGTAGGGACTCACTCACCTGTTAGTGCTGCCAAATTCACTATAAATCCAATTAGTCGCATTGCGAGGACACCACAACGGTTATGAAATTCTATTATTACTATCAAAATGGCCTTGTTGAAATTCCTGTGACCTGATTACACGTTCAAAGTGCCAGCGGCGTGAATTATTTCATTTATCTAATATCAAATTGTGCCGCGAGTACGAGAATTCCACATCAATTGTTTTGACTTAGTTTTGCAGTTACGGATATTTGTTGAGCACGGCGATCCGGCGGCGGAGCCGGAGTCCAAATTCCGGACTCGGATCCGAGTGCGAAAACAGAGAGTTCCCGAGACCCGCTTAGCCGGAGAGAGCGAGACGGCGAGCGAGGCTTTTCTCTGGGGACACGAAGTATAGGTGAACCAACGCGCACGAATTTTACTTTATCACTGAATTTGATTTTTTTTCGCGGCACTCGCAGATACAATGTTGCAGCAACAAAGCTCAGCTCGAAAAAAGGGGAAAATTCTGTGGTGAAAATTCCCTGTACTTTCTCTTTAATTTAAGCTCGAAAACGTGGAGGGCGCTTGTGGTGAAAGCTCGGGATAATCTCAACACACAACAGAATTCCATAAAAATAAATACGATCCCTGAAACTTGGTTTTATAACGTATAACAGACTTTAGAAAAATGTTATAAATGGCATGTTACACTTAGCTTAAGAGCTTAAAGGTTTTGCATGCATTTAAAGCTTTATAGCACGTTAAAGCAGGGCGAAATCAAACGGGGCGAAGAGAGTTCAAACAAGGCGCAGCGAATTCGGAGCGAATTCACTTTTGTATCACTCAGAGAAATTGTTTGGTTATTAAAATACTTTTGCATCATTTTTTGACAAGTCGAAGTTTCTATACCCTTGCAACAAATCATACATATCATAAAAATAAACATAAACTATGTTATGTTAATAATCCACATAAAATTCTTCCCCAGTCAAGGCTGAAAAAAAGATTCGTAGCGTACAATCGAATAGTTTATACTTCTCGTGCATCTTCACAGTGTGAGTTTAAAAATACAACTGCGGATCCCATAAAACCTGGATAGTGTAGCATATCACGAATGATTTTATATTTATCAAACATGCACAAATACATATCGAAACACAACTTATGGTACAATAAAAGCATTAGACTCAACTGTTGCCGAAAAAATTATTAACAATAAGTAAATGTAATTTGTATTTTAAAGTCCTAATACGATTCGTTTTATTATTAAAGAAAAGCTCTAATCTGAATTGACTTTTTATTCACAAATAAATACCTTTTAAAAAATACCATACAAAAAAAACAATCCCTCTGTTGATTTTCAAAAATAATTTTTCGTTATTAAGTAAAAGCTTTCTTTTGTGGATTTTTTTTCTTTGTATGTCCACCCTATTTCTACAATGTGGTATTTTTGGTATTTTTAAATAAATCAAGTACGGTATTTATTTATGAAACTCATAATTGCGTTCCAGCTGCTCTCTAAAATCCATTGTTTTGATTTTGCAAAAATGCCGGGAAAAAGGTAAATAACTAATTAATTACTGAATTATAATATAAAAATTGATGTTTATTAACATGAAGAGCGCGGAGGAAGTTAACCAAGAAGCACCAGAGGAAGAGGCGTCGCCAAAAACAGGCCAAGGAACGCGACAAACTGGAGGAGGAGGCGGAAAACCACAGACTTTTGCAGCCGGAGTACCAGAAATGGCTGCAGAAGCAGAGGGAAATGGAGGAATTCCAGCGCCTGGCCGAGGAAAGGGAGCGCCAGGATGCGGAGGAGTCCTGGCTGCAGCGGGAGGCCATCGTTCAGCGACAGTTCCAGATAGACGAGGCGAAACGACGCCAGGAGCAGGAGGAAGTGGAGCGTTTGCAGCGGGAACAGGCCAGGGAACGGGCAGAACGGGAGGAAATCCAGAGAAAACAGCGCGAGGAGGAGATCAGAAAGACGGCCAAGGCTGCAGCCGAATTCGATGCCATGATGGAGAGCATGAACGAGTACCTGAATAACCCGCAACTGCAGAATCCCCCCAGTCACCTCCAACGGGTGATGGAAACCCATCCAGAGGAACGACCCTGCGAGTTCTTTAGCCGCACCAATTTCTGCCGATACGGTCACGCTTGCACCTTCAACCACCGACGACCCATGCTGGCCAGGATCCTCCTCATCCGCCACTTCTTCAACCACTCTATGCTGCAGGGACGACAGCCACACACCGAGTATTCCTCAGGGGAGGAGCAATTGGAACTGACCGAACAGGATTTGCGCAGCGACTACGATGAGTTCTTCAACGATGCCGTCGAGGAGCTGGAGAAGTTTGGCACCATAGTCAACTTCCGAACGGTGCGCAATACGCTGGAACACCTCAGGGGACATGTCTTCGTGGAGTACACGAATGAACGGTTTGTCTGGGAATCTTAATTATCATTATTATTAAGTTAAGTAATTATGCAGTGTTAATTGCAGTTGCTTGTATGCAAATAATTATAATATTGAATTTTTTTCTACATGAAGCCTAGTTCCCAACATTTTCATTACATTTTAATGTCATATAAATCACTCATTTAAATATTACCCGTTCTCAACAATTGTAAATACTTTATTGTGTTAAGCTCACATTTTTTTCTTACTTTGTAAGTACTTGGGCTATAAATCTTTTGTTATAACTAATTATAAGATGTAACCGCTTTTTATTAAGCTAAAATTATTATTATTATTTTATTTTCATGATCTTAAAATTCTTTTTCTTTTAGATCCGCTCTTCGCGCTTTCACCAATCTTCAGGGTCGCTACTATGCTTCCAAGCGCCTGAACGTGGAGTTCTCCAACCTGAAGACCTGGCGTGGCGCAGTCTGCGGTACGTGAGCTGCATGCCAAGAAGAGCCGTATCCTTTGACAAACCATAATTCACTCAGTTGATAAACCCATATATTTATTTTAATTCCATTTCTTTATCACAATCTGTGGCTTTTAAAGGTTTGTCCTTAACACGTAAATGTCCCAAAGGTAACGTCTGCGGATATCTGCACTTGTTTCGCAATCCAAAAAATCTGTTCAACACGGAACTGGAGAACACATCAACTCCAAAAGGCGAACGACGCCCCAGCCAAACTCCAAAGGTCAAGACGCCCAGGTAAGAGTTTAAACCATATTTTCCTTAAAACATTGTTTTTAAAAAACCCTATTTCAGTTGGGATGACCAGAACGAGCGCGGCAGAAACTGGCGCTGGTCAGAAAGCCCCGAGGTGGAGCTGGCAAACTCCAAAGACTTGGGCAACAGCTTTAAAAACTCGAACAAAAGACAAGATCTCAAACACCATCAAGCGGAATACCATTCCAGGTCAAGAAAACGATCAAATCGTAATGAGGGTTCTAAAAGAAACCGCAGCTGCTCAGATTCCTCGTATGACGATCACAGATCAAATAGATATCACAACTCCACAAACCCTCAACGCCAATAAAAACCAAGGTATTAATTAAGTTTTTTTTTATGGGATCTTTACAAAATTTTATTCAATCTCTTTGTGGGCAAAACATGAGTGTCTCTAACAAAATACTAAAGAGATTCCGAATTTCTTGCTTGGATGAAAGTCAGAGGGTCAGAGATACACTAGCAATTTAAGATTGCTTATAAATATTTAAAGTGCGATCTAAAAACGACTCAATTGATTACAACGGAATGGAATTCTACGCGTAAAATTGGCAGTTTCGAAACGAGAAGGGGAAAGTGAAAAGACTGGGTGCTGGTGGGGGATTGTGATGACAGTATTATAGGTGGTAAGGTAAGATCGGAAATTGTAAATTCTAAAGTCTATTTGTCTTGCTTTCTTCCGTTTTCGTCGTACACATACAAACAAAAATTATACAAAAACTCGTTTTAAGGAATATTATAATAAGTAGCTTTAAAATTAGGCAAACACAGCGAACGCCCAGCGACCCGCTCTATAGACGGATTCCGGGATTCGTGGCCGCCACGTAGCGCAGCAGCTCCTCGTTGTCCTCGCAGATGACGGGCTTCTCGTGGTAGCAGGCCACATCGTGCCAGGCGATGCCATCGTTGTACACGTTGTTCAGGACGGACAGACACTGTTCCTTGGTCTGGTTGATGTCGTACTCGGCGTTATCGGGCTGCGGGCGCTTCTTGTGTCCGGTCTGCGACCAGGGGTTGTAGCCCCATCCCTGTGGAATGCGGTTGGTGGCCTGGATCTTCTCGCGAGTTGCGGACCAGAACCATCCATAGACGGTCTTGGGCTCCAGATCCGGACGGTTCTCGCAGCCGGCAAAGTCACAGATACGTCCGGCCGTCCAGATGTACGGCACATCGTTCTGCTGGATGACGCGGAAGATCAGGTTGTTCTTCTCTTGGGTCTCCAGGGCAACCAGGTCCATGCAGTACTCGCGGCACAGATTGCGGCCATCCAGCCAGTCGACCTTCTTGTTGGCCAGGGCGGGCACGTGGGAGGTTAGGAACATGTTTTTGCCGCGGTAGGAGAACTCCTTGGGACCTGTGAGTCAACAAAGAGAAAGTCGGTGAGTGGGGGTGTCTTTTGGGTTTGCACTGAGAAAAATGTATGGGTGTGTTTTTGATGATCCACATGGAAACAATATTGAATTCCACATCAAAGGCCATCTAAATAATATGCTTTTAAAAATTCCAAACATTTAATTTGTGACGATTTATAAAATTAGTAACTTCAAAACGGAAATATCAACCATAAAAAAAAAGATTTAAAAAAAAAAAATTGAAATTCAAAACTAATTAAAGATAGGTACTACTGCTAAATTTTTACAATAGTCGAACCAAAAGTTCCCCAAACTGCGGCTTGTTTTTTATAAAAGCTATTGAATTGGTAATATTAAATGTAAGGCTTCTTTAAACAACATTTTGGAATTAAGAAAAATTTCAGGTCGAGACCCACAGGTTCAATTGTTTATACACATCCTGTAAACTCGCTAGAATAATTAAATTTTAAAAACCTTTAAAACTTCAACATCACAATTATTTTTTCAACAATTATTTTCGCCCACGATAATTCCTGAT